AATTGGCCTACTACATATTTACATTTTACTTCGAACGTGGGTTAGGTCAATCTACGATGAGACATTACATGAACTGCAAGAAAACCAAAAATGAAAATAATTTTTCTCGATTCTTTTATCTTAAAAAAGGATGTGCATCCCCAGGTATTCTGCTTAGTGTCACAGTGTGAAATTCTATTTCCGGGGGTGGGGTGGTATGAAGGAAGCAGTTGCACAAGAAAGTTTCTATAAAATTCTTGTTACTGTACATATGTACACCCCAAATAAAGTCATATAAAATGTAGCAGCAAAAAAATTCTAGGATCTAGGGTTCATCCAAAAGTATGCCACAACTGTTTAAATTAATTAACATCTTTAATAATCGAAAGTTTTCAACAAAACTTTATTTACCAATACCTCTATCTATTTTGACTTTTGCCCTGAAATTTAATTTAGATATAAGCAACACTTCATAAAATATTAGAATAAACACAACGTTGGATCTCGTCTAGCTACAGCCGCGCAGCAAAAATTTACTGACGTTTCTTTTCGACACTCATTTTGAATCTGATGATACAGAAGATCTACACAAACGAAATTAATTTAGGAATAATATTTAGACAAAGTTCAAATATTTTAATACTACAACTCAGAACAAGGCATTTAAAGCACAATAACAGTAATGATTATTAAAAAGAGGCAACTGAGGTTTAAAAGATATGGAGATGAACTGAAAGTGAGTGCCGAAAGGTAACGTCATAACGACGCCGGTAACATACTTACCGTGCGGCGATAGACAAAACCAAAAGTTGTGTTTAACTTGATATTTTACAAAGTACTTAAAATAATCGAATGAAAAAAGCAAAATTCAATACAGATAGGGGTATTTATATGTCAAAGTTTATTGATAACATTTGATTATTCAAGATTTTATAGGAATTGCTACATTACTTTGGGATCATGCCTTGTACTTTAGCAGCGTTAGTTTTATTAGAACTTGATTAACGTATGTAATAGTTGATTTACCAGATATGTTTATCATTTAAGACATCAGGCCTTCAACCTTTGGAAACATGCAGTCATTGCACATGTTTGCTTCAAACGTTAACTATGGGACTCTAAACATGTCGTAAAATGCCATTTCTCAAACTTCAGGGCATGTTATCATGGTAACCATAACACATAGCAACCAATTTTCGCCTGATTTGGGTTTACGTTATCAAAGACTTTCATCATAGAGAGTTTAGAGAAATTATGACAGCTTCTATATGTATAAATCTTATACGGTACCAATTTTGATGCACCAGATGAGCAGTTCGAAAAATTATGTCTCTTCAGTGACGCTCATGCCGAAACGTTGGAAATCCGAAACATTTAAATTAAAAAACACTTTGAAGAGCTGAAAAAAGGGGGTGCCAAAGCTAAATACGTCGAAGGATCAAAGCTATTCATTAAGGAGATAATCCTTAATTTTGAAATAAATTTTTAAGTTTTACCACATCATTTAAATATATATCTGTACTTTCAAGCTAATAGCGAAATACATAGTTACTGGGCTGTAGAGACCCTCTGGAACTTACAGTCCACCAGCAGCAGTCCAATATATAAAATTTCAAGTCATTAGAATGGCTCTTAACGTCTGTTCACGCGCTTATCACTTCCAAGCCAAACTTCCGTTAATAATTTACCTGATCAATCAACGGTCTCGCTGTAGTCTCACCACATCTCTTCAGAATACTTCGAACTTCTCAGGTATTATAATTTGCTTAACAAAAATGAAGGTTCATGTTTTGAATTTAAGTATAGGGGTAAGCAAGTGTACTTGATAAGCGGAATACATGTATACCTTAGTTTGAATGCAATATTTTTGTCTCAATTTTACAAAATTATACATGTGAGTTATAATTAGTACAAGCTGGCCAAGAGAAGAATTTGCGTAAGTGATAGCAGATACAGTGTTAGCTTCTCAAACTGAGTAATTTATATTTTGCCGTATTGCTTTTAGATTTATTGCGATAATAATTACCAAGGTTTGCATTACTTCTTAACACAAACAGTTTAGAGACAATCCATATGTTACGAGAAAAAAACCTAAGCCCAGTAGCTTCATTTATTGCTTAAACACAAAAACGTGTTTCTTTATTGCATAGTCATTCTGCCACTGGGAGACTTGTAAGCATTCTGAAATACCCGAGTTTTTGTGTCATTGTGAAACTACAGTGTTCCAAGGAACGCATGTGTCGTCAGCTATAGAATCCTTATAAGATACAAATAAATCTAAAAGTGGTCAGCTGTTTATTTGCATGCAAGTATTCATGCATTTGCCTGCAAAGAATAAAATTTTCAAGGATAATTACTGCGATAGAACAACATTTATCACAAAGTGTGACAATAAAATAGAAATATAATTCCTCAGCCCTCAAAACTTAAATAAATAATGAAATTGAAATTATTTTAAAAAAATTACTTAATTTATTCATATGATCCCTCAGTTTCAAAACATTCTTTCTTAACTGCAATTGTCAGTCCACAATTTATTTTGAAGAACGATCTAACTGCAATTGTCAGTCTGCAATTTATTTTGAAGAACGATCCAATTATTAATAATAAATATAATATATTTAGAATCTCACAAATCTGCAGGTGTCGCGAAACTATAGATCTTTACCTTAATCTTTGAACTTTCATTAAAATTGTCCGAGCCATCTGCGAGACTATTTGTGGACAAATCAATACAGGAAGGAAAACAATATGGAATATTTATCAGACTGTAATAATGATTTTATGAGTTTGTACAAGCAAGACGTCATAACTTTTTCATTTCACATGCTGAATACTATCATTTAGTAAATCCCCCGAAAAAAATATCAAAAAAAAAAAAGATCGTCCGAGATATGAACCCGGGACCTCTCACATGCCAAGCGAGATACATACCCCTAGACCACGGAGGCACTTGATTAAATCGTAAATTAAATGCAAACATTAGGTCACATATAATGTTTATATTCAAGTTCGATATTGTTAAAATTTTACACAATACATGGTGTCTAATTTAGCCTTTACTAAACAGTTCTAATAAATGTAATAAGAATATAAAGTCCGCCGACAACCTGTGTTATATGTAATAACTCTCTGCATGCCACTGTGCTAAAAAAAGTGCCAGGCGACTTTGAATATAATAAATAATAAACAAAAAGAAAAACAAATGGGGCGAGACACTCTGAGAGGGGCGAGACAGGCCCTAGGGAGTTATGGTATAAAATTTCATTGCAAAAGCTTCTTGAGATATCGCCCGGAAACGAAAGTGTTACACAAAGACGGAATGTATGAATTTACGACCTTGAACTTTGACCTTTTGACCTCAAAATCAATAGGGTTCTTTCTTAGGCCACAGGGGGTTGTTACGTAAAATTTCATTGCAAAAGCTCAAAGGATTCTCGAGATATCGCACGGAAACAAAGTGTTAAAACAGACAGAATCTATGAATTTATGACCATGACCTTTGACCTTTTGACCTCAAAATCAATAGGGTTCTTCTTTAGACCATAGGGAGTTGCCATGCAAAATTTCATTGCGAAAGCTCAAAGGGTTCTCGAGATATCGCGCGGAAACGAAAGTGTTACAGACAGACAGAAATACAGACGGACGGACGGACGGACGGACAGACCCAAAATAATATCCCCCACTTTCAGTGTAAGCGGGGGACAAAAAGACAATAAATAAACTGTTCAAACCCGAAAATCCTATTTCGTGGGGGTGTTGATGTTGGACCTTTCTGTAACTTTTTGGTACATTATTTTTCCAAATGTTGGAATTTGCCAGTGCTTGACCTTACAGAAACAAAGGGGCAGCAGCTAAAGGAAAATTCACATATTAAAACTACAGCAAAAGACTGTGCACAGAAAAAGTGGGGGAAGCCCACCCCACCCCATTCCACGTTCTACGGGCCCGATATTTATGTACATGTGTTGTTGTAACACTATACTATTTATAAATAAAGTTAGACGTAAAGCACAACTTTAAACGCTATTTAAAATAAACATTAATAAAATGACAGGTAATAACTGATATTAAAAAATATTTTTCTTGTAAATTTGTAAACTTAAATGTGAAGTTAACAAGTTCATGTAAATAATCTTTATTGACTTTAATCGACTGGACTTTAAAAGAAACTGGTGTGCAATGTACTCTATTTAAAAAAAAAATAGATACTGAGATGCGCATATAAAGAATATTATTCACATTTCAAAAATTCTGGCCCAAGACCATCAACAGGTGAGAAGAGACTTAAGTCAAGATTTAGATTTTGAATATATTGATATTTATTCAACAAATGTATCTAAAAAGCAGTAGATCTATATAATATTACAATGCAAATACTTACTGGAATTTTTTTCTATTTTCAAAATTATTTTAGAAGTTACATTAATTTGAACTTAAAACTTAGGTCCATTTTTAGTCTCTGGTCTTCAAGCCTGGTATCGTCGTAAGATTTTAGGAAAATGTTTTCGTAAGGGAATCATAATAAACCCCTCAGGTTTGGTAAATTCAGTTCTTGTCACTTTCTTTACAACAGCTAATGGCACATTGAATCCCCAGAATTTTAGCTTATAAAAAATACAATAAATATGAGCAGCTTCTTAAACCTTGTTGGTTGATTTTTTTTTTTTTCAGTGGCAAGCAAGCTGATTTGAAACAAAAAGGTGTGTGTATCAAACATCTGTACTTTCAGTTGAGATTATATTTCAATAAAGACAATATTCATGTTAGTGCATCCGGATTTTAAAATCCACTGTGTACACATCAGTTTGGAATGCAAATTTCCGACGAAAACACCCTTCAAAGTGTATGTTAAAAGTTTTGTGTCACTCAAGAAAGACAAATAGAGCCAAGAAGAGGGGTCTCGGAAATTCGTCTTAATAAGACACGCACAAAGCGCTTCCGGAACCCTTGACCCAGTATTCGGAATTTTAGGGATATTATCAGTAAATGAACACTGTTTGTGTGAAAGTAGATGTTGATTAAAGAAAATGTATATTTTCTTTTGTCTTTGTCTACTTTTTGAGTTGAATGCCATTTTGGCAGAAGACGAATTGAACATTAAGCATCGTTCAAAAAGACAAGGATTTAGCCCAGATGTGAGTTGTAAAACCATTTTTGTACATATTTTATTTTATTCAACGATAACTAATCAAATTTTGAATTATCTTCGTCTGCTCTGTAGGCATTCTTTGAGAAGTTTGGATACCTGGAAGAGAAAACCGGAACAAGCCAACAGCACAGCCCCGCAGACCGTGAAAAAGCAATCAGGTATACTTGTATTGCGAATTGTAGTTTTTTTAAAGTTCAAAATTTAATATTTACATTCCACAGCTATTTTGCTTATAAAATGTATGGAAAGTTTCGGTATTCAAAGCACCATTTAATGTTGCAGTCTTGTAATCAGTAGAACATTACTTGTAATGGTCTAAGATTACATCTGCGTGTCTGTGTTATCATTAATCTTATCCATTTCTATTTATTTCAATCATTTGCTATGTTTGAAAAATTTCCTTTCAGTATGCAGATGCTCGGAAACTGTGTTTTAGTAAATGCATGTTCTGATTGACAAATTCTTTACTGATGTTTAAGACAGTTATCTTGAGACTGTGTTTTGCACCCTGGAGTTAAAGGCATAAAAGAATTGCATGCATGTTGTTGTATAAATGACAAATTTATATGGCTACAAAATGCATATTGGTTCATATTAAGAAAAAATAGAAATCCCGAGTACCAACTCAGAAATGGTGTTTTTGTTTTTTGTGTTTGTTTTGTTTTTGGTTCAATAATATTTTCAAACCATTTGAGTATTAAAAAAAATATTTTTTTATTATCATTTTAATGTAAATAAATGTCTCCTGACTCAAACCCTAATAAAGTTTTCTTTAGTTTATGTAATTTTTTTATGTCATACTTACAGAAATACGAGTGTTGCAGACAGGCGCAGAACTGTTTATATTGTAAAACACTTCATTCATGATCATGAATCTGCTTTAAAAGAAATTTGGAAAAAAATATATATTTCAAAACTGTAATACAGAAATTACGACTTAGAATTAATTGATACATATGTAATTAAAATGTACATGTATATATATTTTGGCACTTTTCATCGCATGTATATATTGTTTTTGAAAACCAGTGAAGCATCGAATTTCGAAGTGGTTACTCAGGCCCGTATGGCGCGGAGGGCCAGAGGGCCCAGCCCTCCCACATTCTCTGAGTAAAGTATCTTGCTATAGTAAATTTTCCTTTAGATGCTCGTCTCCCCTACTTTTTGTTGCTGTAAGGTCGAGCACTGGAAAATTACAGGATTTGGACAAGTAATTCAGTTTTTTTGCTTTTGTATTTTGTTTTGTTTTTATTTATTCATGTCAGATTATTTTGGGAAGTTGCCCCCAAGCCCCCCCTCACTTTTTCCTCAGTTTAATTTATTTATTTATTTATTTTGTTAGTCAGATTTTTTGTGAAGTTTCCCCTACCCCCCACTTTTGAAACCCTTGCTACAGGCTAGTTACAAATGTACTTAATGTCTCAGTCCAATGAATTCTTCACCCCAGTACTCACAGAAGAACACTCGATGCCTGTACTTTTCAAAGGTTGAGCGGTCAAGGTTTTTAGAAAAAAGTAGTTTATTTTATGTTTGAGAGATGAACTGGTGTACTTTAAATCTGGTTTGTATATTAATGGACTTTGAATGCGGTTAATGATGTGGTTAGTTACGTAAATGTCATGGATCCAACTCGGGTTTTTGACAATTGTCATGATTCATTTTCGGTTTTAGATTTCCACATATCATTCATCAATTCATCCAGTAAGGTGTAAAAAGTCGAATGAATCAGATTTCTCATGATCAGAAATTTCATTAATTTTCTTAGGGATGTTACGAACGCTGGCAGATTAATCTATTTTCATTATATCAGAGGTTGAAAATTTAGACTAATTTTAATTTCTTTTGCCTTAAAGTTCAATCTTTTGCAATCAACAGGAATTTTCAACAAATGGTTGGTCTACCAGAGACCGGAATTCTGGATAGAAAAACAATAAAGAAAATGCAAGCCCCCCGCTGCGGAAACAAAGACGTCCTGCGCGAGAAAGATGTCAAGAGAAACAAAAAGAGGTCAAACATTCAACTGAAGCCAGAAGAATTCAAAACATTAGGTAAATCTACCACGTGATTTTAGGTCAAATAATGTATAGTAACTACATTTTTTTTTAGATATATTTTTTAAATTATTATGTTTCACCAAAGTCAGCCAATATATTGAAAGCATTCCTTTCGGCTTATTCAAGCTATAAAGATCGTTCCTGAATAAAAACGAGAGCTTCATAGTTATACAATCTCTATTGGGATTTTTCTTTTCGAGTAATTTATATCTACCCAGTAAATAAATGAAGTTATCATTATTATTGAATGTGTAAAAACTTCTAAATCTTAAAAGGCTGCATTAGTGTCAAAATGGCATGCACTACTTATAAATTGTCTTCATTAATATGCATCATGTCAGCCTATTAGAAAACCCAGTGATCTATACGTTTTATCATTATGTGGCGAGTTTTTTTTTTTTTTTTTGGATTATGAATTGCTTATTGTTAATGAAACGATTTATCATTAGTTCTTCTTTACAACCAATATAAAATGTGTCCTTCGGTTTTACATGTAATTCCACTAGACAATGCACGTACATTACAAAGCTATCTACAACTTTGTTAAAAATTATAATAAATCGTGGGTACATTCCGAAAGTAAAATAGTAAAATGATTTACTTTTCTTATATATCACTTGCAACGTTGAATTGAAAAATAAATAAATAAATAAAAGAAAATAAAATTCTAGAAACTGTTTTTCACAATCCTTAAACTGTAACGTACTTGTATTTATTCTTTATCGACATCTGAATTTTAAAATGTATCAACGACAAGTATAGTTTTATCTATATGGGCACTCTTACTTCCTGCAGGACTAAAATGGCCCAAAAATGAGGTTACATGGAAAATTGTTGGATATACTCGGACGAACCCACTGTCGAGCTCCTTACAAAGGTTTGCTTTTCTGTTAAATGTAGAAGATCATTATGTAATCCTAGCCGATTCATATCTTGCAAAGATTCCAGGCGTGTGGCTAATTCAAATCCTACTTACAAACTTTGTGATTTGAATAATCTAACACCTAAAAAAAACTTTCAGACGAGCGTTCATCAACGCCTTCAACAAATGGAGTGCGGTTAGTCCTCTGTCTTTCCGAGAGGTGAGAGGGGACGCAGATATCCTCATAGACTTTAAGCGGTACGACCATAGAGACGGTAGCCCATTCGACGGCAGAAGTAAATACCATTCACTCATTATCTAAGACCCATATACAAGTCAATAGTTCAATTCAATCATTATTTATTGTTCAAGAATTTTTATATTTCGAGTGTATATTTTATTTGTACTCATATGACATATGTTGTTTTTATCATCTGAGTTGAAATCAACATGAGGATATTGTAAATATTTTATATCTCATTGATATATAACACTAACAACAAGACAGCTGTTCCAAGACAATGAATACCTAGTGGTAAATCAAGACCGATGTTTAACATAGATCAAACCCTCTTTGTTACTGAAATGTCAAATCTCTCTAGAATAATTTGTACTCACTAAAGAGTAGAAAGAACATGTGATGCTATAGCTCAAAGATCAGTACTGTTTGGTTAAGCAAACTTTGCGAAAATAATATTATACGTATGGTATCTGCCTATCTGGAATTTTAATTGTAAAGCTGACATCTTGTTGTTTTTTTTTACTTTGAATTTTAAGAAATAGATTAGCATATGCGAGACCGCTGGCAACTCTAAGTGATTTTTAAAGCACACAAAGACAATTCGAATTAAAAAGATTTAATTCTAGCAGCACGATATTTTTTAAATACACTAAATTTTTTGATTGCCATCTAGAATTCTGTGTAGAGAAAATGCAGACTAAGATAATATTTCGATATTCTTTGATCACTATTCAAAGTCCAGTAAGATGTCAATGACTCTGTAGACCTTCATTTAAATTATTTAGTCATATAAAAACCAAATTATTTGTACAAAAGGTTCAAAGAGGGAGACATGACAATTGGTAATATTTGTAGGTGATACAAACATATATCAGGAAGAACGAGTTATTGAGAGATATTCTCTATGATTTTAATGTTTCAAGCGTTATACCTCTAGCTTGTTGCCGTATACTGTATGTAATAAAAACTTCCTTTAGTTTTTAGATGTCCGTGTTTGCTCTGTTATTCCAATGGCCTTGAGCTTGATAACTGTTCGTTATTTTCATATTTCTTTTATAAAATGTATACAATCTATAATATAATGGCGTTTAATATCTTACCTCTTGGAGTACCTCTGGTTTATCACTATCCCTGTTCCGTAGCAATTGTTTCCTTTGTGGGAATTGGGGAATTGTTTCTCTGTGAAATTTCTTATTTCTGTAGAATGGCTCATCTTTTTTCTCTGTATTATGGTTGCACTCTCAAGTTCTATCTAGCAAATAGTTTTCATTCATGTATTTTAATTTTTTTTTATTTTGTTTTGTTTTAGATCTTCTCGATTTCATTCATCCTTAGCCATGATTACCCTTTTCTTCAAGTTACTTTGTTTTACAAATTGAAATTGTTTAAGGACTCAACAAGTTCGAGAAGGTTAATTTATCGTATCGTAGACAGAATTAACATTCTTTTCAGTCCACGTTTGAATTGTTCTCGTTTTTTTTTTCTTGAAAGAAATTAGTTAGAAATCATTTAATTAGTGTTTTGTGGATGGAAAGAGAAAATTAATTTTCATTTGGAATTGTTTCCTTTTTTGCGCACCATGTTTGAAGGACTTTATGTTGTGTCTAGTCGACACTAAAGTTTAACTATTTAAGGCATTTATTATATACTGGACATAATTGCGAAATTTGGTTAAACTATGACAACTTAGTCAAACTATAACCTTTGTATGTATTGTCGAATTTTAAGCAGTTTTTAACTGATATCATCAAAATGCGTATCGATTACTCTGTATGTAGTACCTATATCAAACTGCAAAAAAGTTTGTAAAAAAAGAATTCCTAAATGCGATCTTTTATTTTCGGATTACGAAATTCCCCTTGGAAAATAAATTTGAACACGAGTCAATATACACTTCGCAAATACGTGTACTACTAAATTTTCATTTATTTAGGACCGAAATGTTTTAACAAATTGCAATTATATTTTTACTTACAGCAAATTTTACAGAAGCTCCACAATCTTATAGACACATTATTCTTGTAATTCTCTGTCAAGTTTGACATTTTTCAGCAGATAATGATTTTGGAAGAAATATATAATTTTACAACCATAAATGATAATTTAATTGTTTCAATCAAAAGCCATATACACTTTATGGAAATTTTCTTTCAAAGAATATCTTTAAGAAAAAAATTCTTCCAAATTTTATTACACAATTCGTACAGATTTATCACATTCAATTAAAACAGTCTTACTTTATTTCAATGTCGATTTTTTTTATAGAGATTTTGTATATTCAATAATAATTTTGCGAACAGCTCTACAATATCTTAATAGGCCAGGTGCCACTGTTGCTTATATTTTCATTATTTCCCAGGTGACGCGTTTTGCAACACCTTTAATATACTCCAAAACGTATTATTCTTAACGTTTTAACAATAGTTCAGTGATCTCTCTCCGATATCATATTTGACGTGCACGGTGTATTCTTGCTAATATCCAGGTAACTTTCCTCAGGTTTTTAATATATTCATGATGTTACTTTTTGTTATACCATTACTTTATTCAAGGTAGCACACTTTTTATTAAATATACTATACTATACTATTTTATACTATACTATATTAATTATACTATACTATATCGCAGATGGTGTTTTCCAATTCCAGGTGGCACTCTTGCTCACGCCTTCTTTCCTGGAACATCTGGAATATCGGGTGACACCCACTTCGATGATGACGAGCAGTGGACGATGAATACCCCTGAGGGGACAAATCTGGAGATTGTGGCTGCCCATGAGTTTGGCCACGCGCTTGGTCTCAGTCATACTAGTGTACCGGAAGCTTTGATGGCGCCCTATTATCAGGGTTATGACAAAAATTATAAGCTGCATAATGATGATATACAAGGGATCCAAAGTCTCTATGGTAACGTACTCTGTTGATTTAACATTTACATGTTCCCAGGTCATTTGTTGGGAATTAATTCAAGCTGTACTCGCTAAAATTATTCAAATGAATCGGATTTCTGTTGAATTGATCAGAGATAAAGGTCTACATGTATAGAAGAACCATGACGTGTATTATAGTATGTAATTTTAGGTAGACCCTCAAGAACAACTAGACGTCCTTATTACACTACCCGACGACCCTATTACACAACACGACGGACTTATCCCACTGGAAGGCCCTACACCACGAGGCGACCATATACAAGGCCGACAACTCGTAGACCAACTCGCCCTACTACCCCACAGGACATATGTAGTGTGAAGTTCGATACCATCTTTAATGGTTACTAATTCTTTGATTTTATATAATCATCTTGAAGTTGATACCATGATTTTTTATTTCGAGTGGATTACTTAAAAATATTTAAGTAGCGCTTTTATCCTAAAACTATTTTATTTGTAGCTCATGACGGTTCCTTGTACGCAACACGAAAAGATCAAATATATAAATTTAACTCAAATGGGATAGGAATCCAGAGGGGGTTCCCAAAGAAAACAAGAAAAGTCTACAAGAGGGCCCCAAAGAACGCTGGGGCTGCTGTAAAAGATCGTTACGGTCGTGTTTATATGTTTAAAGGTAAACTATTTCTTAAATATTATGAATGTGTTACATGCACTTCATGTATTTCATTGTTGTTTGTTTTAGATTCTTTAAGATAAATATCGCTTAATTAGTATTTTTAAAAATTAAAAATATATTTCAGGAAATAAGTTATTCAGATACACAAGATATCAACTAGACCAAGGCTTTCCGAGGAGAATACGCGGCAAAACTAATTTTTATCGGAACCTACAAGCTGCATTGTTGTGGTATGATGGAAGAATCTATGTTTTTAAGGTAACTGAATGTAATATATTTTTCCTTGGGTCTAGGGCCCTCTTATGTTTGATACGAACTTATTTACATTTACAATATATACATATCTTGGGTGCTTCCCTAGCACGCAAATAAACCAAATAATGTAACCAACTGCCTCGTAATCAGTTGGGGCGTCTAGTGACTTCCCGAAGTGCCCTCAGAAGCAACCAAAGCGCCGGTGCACGTCATTCTACGGGAAGCGACCGGTTACTTCTATTTAAACAAAGACTGCATGCAACGCTCAAGTAGACTTTTGCACAGGTAAAATACATGTACTGTTCCGCAAATCCCTAAGCAATGTTGACTTACAAATAGACTTACCGATATCTTCTTGCTTGCCGTCTTATTCTGCTCCTACATGTACCTGTGTTGTCTCTGTCTACGACTGTAACTCTTGAACCTTTATCAGTAACTGCCAGAGTTTTGGAGGCCATATATATACTCTGGGTATATCACGTGATTAGCCCACTCGGAATTCTTGGGAACTCGGGGTTTTACGAACTCAGGGTCCTTGCGGAACGCCCAATCCCCTTCCCTTAATTATCTATTGCCGTTACAAGACATTAATATACTCTTATTTGTATTTTTAGGGAGATAAATACAGTATTTGGGATGAAAGATACACCACTCCCCCTCCTGGTTACCCCAGACCTATCTCATCGTTCTGGGGCGGGATACCAGTCAATGTAGAGGCTGCTATCAGATGGAACAGATATACATACTTTTTCAAAGGAAGAAAGTAAGTTTCTTTTTCGTTTGCATTTTTATATCGACGATTAATTTTTCTGTTTTTTTTACGATGATAACTAATTTGTAGTTACTTCAAATTTGACGACCGTTATCGGAGAAAATACACAGGTTACCCGAAAAAGAAAGCTGCCCCTTGGCTTGGATGCGGACGGACTACACCAAAATAAATCTGCCGTGATTGAAACAAATTAGCATTCGATGGACTATGAAATACTTGTTTGCTACTGACAGATTATCAACACGATTACGGATTATCTTTATTTTTGTACACTGTGTGTATAAGATATAATGTTCATACTTCTATATGTTTTTTGATGTCGCTATATACATGTAAGACTATAACGTATGTTGAGAAGTATCTTTTAATCCCCTTCATGAAAGGAAGACGCGGAAATATTTTCGATTCCATTTTTCTATATAATCTAGGAACAGCATTTCAGAAATTGTATACACTTGAAATAACTCAGTTTCATTTTATGAAATATTGTCCTGCATTAGCTGATATCATTCAACTGTTTTAGAGTCTCAAGGTTTTCAATAATTATTAGATATTCTATATATAGAAATGAGAATAGTTTTTGCAAGGTTCAAAGATTTTATTAATATAATAATAGACAAACGTCTACAAAGGCTGCCAATCATAACTTAAATACACAGCACCAATAATTATACTTGAATCTACGTTTAGGACGGCAATCAATGGTTTCATTTATCTTCATATGCATGTTTAATGCTCAGGAAGTCAAATATGACTCAGGGGAGTGTTTTAATCTTTGGCCTACGTTTTTATTTCCTCAGGTGAAGATTGACAGCTAAAATTCTTATTGCGCTCTGTAATCGGAGATTTGGAGGCATACAGTTTTTGGTTAGTCCGTCTGTCTGTTCTTCTGTTAATCTGTTTGAATGTTAACCTTGGCCATAACTTTTAAAACTTGGTGCTAGGGCTTTCAAATTTCACATGTGTATATTATTTGTGACAAGATCTTTCTTTGGGGACCAACATTTTTGACCTCATGACTTGACCTCGGAGATTGAGGTACTAAAAAAATCACCAAATTTTAACCTTGGCTATAACTTCTAAAAGATTGGTGCTATGTCCTTTGTATTTCAAATATCTATTTCTTGTGACAAGTCCTTTCCTTGGGTACCAACGATTTTGACCTTGTCCTTGGAGTTTGACCTACTTTTGAAATAAATTAACCTCGGCCATAACTTCTGAATGGTTAGTGTTCAGACTTTTATATTTTACATGTGTATTTCTTGTGACAGTACCTTTCGTAATGTACCAACATTTTGAACCTACTTTTGAAAGACTTAAATTGACCACGAGCTGCCATACGGAAGCATCAGTGTTTCACAAACGCAACTTGTTCTATTTTACTTTTTTTTTCAATCATTGTGTGCAACTGTATGTTTGTCCTGCCTTTGTCTGTACCTCAAAACATAGAAAATAATTTTTTTTTAAATTTTTTAAATCTAATATAAATGTCTTCAATTTGAATTTGTAAAATAAATTTCAATTAAAAAATGATACCAAAAGCGAGCATGAAAAGAGCTCACAGCTGCTAAAATATCATCTTTTTATTATTATTGTCAGTATGTTATAATGTTCAAAACATGTATATTGGCATAGCTAAATCTTCAAATATTCCAATAAACCGAGTTATAAGAAATTGACCCCGTGTTTATGTTACATAATGAGTAAAACTATGTTCAAATGAAATATATGGAGATAAGAACAGCACTCAAGCTCAAAAATCCATTAAACAATACAAAATAGGAGCAGAGCAAACATGGACCTCCAAAACACCAGAGGTGGGATCAGGTGCTATGGAGGAGTGAACATCCCCTGCCGACCGATCACACCCGCCGTATGCTCCTTGTCATAATCGGGAAATAACGGAAAAATTCGTCGACAATTCAGTGTGTAAATAATGGCCTAACAATTGGTATGAAAAATTCAGATCTCTATGATAAGAACCATACCAGTACAGTACTGGAGAGTTGGTCTATATAGAATCATACTAGTACAGTACTGGAGAGTTGGTCTATATAGAATCATACTAGTACAGTACTGGAGAGTTGGTCTATATAGAATCATACTAGTACAGTACTGGAGAGTTGGTCTATATAGAATCATACTAGTACAGTACTGGAGAGTTGGTCGATATAGAACCATACTAGTACAGTACTGGACAGTTGGTCTATATAGAACCATACTAGTACAGTACTGGAAAGTTGGTCGCTATAGAACCATATTAGTACAGTACTGGACAGTTGGTCGATATAGAACCATACTAGTTCAGTACTGGACAGTTTGTCTATATAGAACCATACTAGTTTAGTACTGGAGAGTTGGTCTATATAGAACCATACTAGTACAGTACTGGACAGTTGGTCTATATAGAACCATACTAGTACAGTACTGGACAGTTGGTCTATATAGAACCATACTAGTACAGTACTGGAGAGTTGGTCGCTATAGAACCATACTAGTTCAGTACTGGACAGTTTGTCTATATAGAACCATACTAGTACAGTACTGGACAGTTGGTCGATATAGAACCATACTAGTTCAGTACTGGACAGTTTGTCTATATAGAACCATACTAGTTTAGTACTGGAGAGTTGGTCGATATAGAACCATACTAGTACAGTACTGGATAGTTGGTCCATAACATATCTGATATCTCACAAACTCTTTTCTCTCTACGGTACATATCAAACTGATGATTCTAGGAAAAGCACGAACCAACATTATTTAAATAAGCAAAATTAACCAACTGTTAGTTATATAAATTAGCTGAATGGAAACCTTAACGTAATAAAAATAAGAGGGAGAACTTTTAAAAGCTCAAATGATATTTTCTTACAAACGTTTTTCGTCGGCCATCTGTCACCTGTCAGTTTGTTTCATACCTTTGTTTTCTTCTCGAGAGCCATTTGAACACTTTTACCCGTTTCTGATCAACCTTGCCCCTAAGCAGTCTTGGATTAGGGAAATTGCGTTTGAATTTTTGGAAGGATGCATCCAATCCTAATAAAGTATATGTGTAATTTCTAAATGCATAGAGATGACTTACAAAGCATGAAGAAAATGAGTCATATGGATATTGTATAAATTTGAATTTTTAAGATCACATAATTGAGACTAGAATTTTTTTTAGAATAAGCAAATATGATTTAAGAAGTATTAGAGGCCGTTTTTTTGTTTTAAATTATATATGACCAGAACTTCATAGCATCACTTAAGGATGTTTACATTAATTTGCACGAACATAGACAGATGCATTTCTCACCATTTTTACGATTCTTTCCGTTTTCGTGTCTACGTGTATATATAAAGTTGTCCTTGATAAGCGCTGGTAATGACATACACGCTGTATTTTTTAATGTACTGGCATTTATATCAGACTAGCTTTCCCGTTTTCAGTCAATAAAAACTCAGAAGTACAGATTTCTGAAAGAAGCTAAAGACATTGTAGGTTCTGTTTTTCTGTGATTATCTTTAATTTTCTTTTATGAATGAGAAACAATTTCCCAAAAACAAGAAGTACGAAAATATAAAAGGGCGCTTAGATGTGTTGGGTGTGTGCATCATTTTACTAGTCGTTGATTAAACTGTACTGGTTGTCTTTTATCTTTTCGTAAAGATTTTTTTTTCCAGACTAAACATCTGTCTATGTTATTTCGGACGAAGTGGGCGAATTGAATGGAACAACTTCTTCGTGTGAAGTTATTCGTTGTAAATGAGTAATTATACCTTTGCACTTAACCAAAAAAGTTGACATTACAAATTTAAAAAAAAAAATAGTTCAAGGGTAATTCAGACATGGATCTAAATAAAAAAAAAATGAAGATAACTAACAGTGATCCACCTAAATAAAAATAAACTACAATCAATCTGTAAACAAGATATAAAACGTGGGCCCCCTGAAATTCCAAAGGCGAGATCAGGTGCCTAGGAGGAGTAAACATCCCCTGTCGGCAGGTCACACCAACCGTGAGCCCTATCTATTCATCAGGTAGACGGAATATGCCGTAGTCAAATTTAGTATAAAAACAAAGGTCTAATAATTTGTAGGAAATATTTCAGTAAAAAACGACCTAAAAGATAAGATATATTTGCTAATAAGGTAATTATAACGACCATAAAATTTACGAAATGCTGACTTTAAACGATGTTGATCAATTCACTGTAACATCAACTTATCTGTCAGTAACCAGCCTCTGTTTAAAAATTGATTGTACTCAGAATATGCTCTTGAGTATCGAATAAAATGGGAGACATGTACACCATACGCAGGTGATAACGGGAGATTACTGAGTAAATAAGGAAAGTTGACGATAGAAAAGTGAAGTCATCTCTTCTGTCAAAGTTTAGTTTTCAATTGGCCCTTATCGTCTGTCTATATTCAGTAAAAAATCAAAATAAGGAACAAATTTTACAGACTCTGTGGTGTCTTTTATTTCGAGTTTATGTATCGAGTCGACATGTGAATGGAATTGATGAAACATGTCGTCTGTATTTCCGAATGTCAAAGTGAAAACAACAGCAAGTGTTTCCTTCTTCTCACGTAGAATTGTTTTAATAAATTCTGCTACAAAGGATTACAAAAACAGGTCGGCTAATAAGGAGCATAATAATAATAAAAAAGAATTAGTGCCCATTGGATATCCAACACTTTGTTGCAAGACCTGGTCTCCAAAGACTACGTAGATGTTGTCCATGAAAAATTTTTAGCATAAACTTCAAAGTACCTGTATAGATTGATTTCTAACAAAGTAATTATCTTTATGATCAATCATTAGGTATGAACGTTCCCGAGTTCCATTTTAATTGAAGAAGCAGTTAAGTATCTATGACATCATTTTTTTAATATAATTTATCTTGAGGAATGGCTGTATAACGTGTAGAAAATTCATACTTTTTGATGTTACTATGTTTTGAATAATTTGGTGATTTTACACCACTTCTAGAATATGCTGTAGTGCATCTGAAGTTTCTCATTTACAACAGTTAATATGTTTGGGAGAGGAAAAGATAGGGGATTTCTGAAGCACTAGCTGGACACGGCAGTGTATCTTTGTATGGATTTAAGGAATCCAGTATAGAAAGGATAGTTAGAACTCACCTTCGTTGACTGGAATAATTAAAGACTGAAATGTGATTCTGGAGAATTTCAGCCTTAGAAAGTTAATTGTGAGTTTAAGATTTCCAGATGTAAAATTAAAACCAAGTTCTTCTAAAATACAGTTAAAATAAAATACAGTTAAATAATGGGCTTACAAAAAAGACGATGTTGTTACAAACCTTGTCTGCTGGAACCATTTCATAACATATTGCTCATGTAGTCTTTCTAATACTAATATCACCGACGATTTAGTGAAAACAGAAGGATAGATGAATAAAATGATTGCTTTTGGGTTGTAATTTTGAACTATATAAACATCACCAGTATATATATATATATATATATATATATATATATATATATATATATATATATATATATATATATATATATATATATATATATATATATATATATATAATGCATTTTTTTTTAAAATATGATAAAAAAAAAAATGAACATTGCTTAACGGCTTAACGGAGCTTTATTTGCTATTTTTAATACAAATCTAAATGAAAAATTTCATCAATATACACTGATCCACAGAAAATGCTATTCTTTTAATAATATGTGCAATTTTCTTAAGAAAATATATCTAAAAAAATAAAGAATTTAATATACGCAATCAATGTGTTTTCTTTTAGCTTATAATTACAATATCTATTCCATACCTTAAAAAAGGTTATTTAAAAATGAATATAAATATGACATGATGAGAGAATTTAGAGAACTACATCCGTCAGTTTTTCTACCTCGAGCACATACATCCAACAGTAATATCCAAATTTACAAACCTCCATTGCCGCCGAAGGGAGTATGGAACGTTTCCATCTTCATCGCCTTCTACACTGCGAGTAAGAATCATAGCTGTATACTTGGCAGGAGTACAACGATAATGCCCATACCAACAGGTTGCATTTAAACATCTGACTTCCTTTAAATGTCTTGGAAAGTGCATTTCTCCTAAATCCCGCCAATAATATTCAGAAGCACATTGCCATGGCAGTTCAATGTCTGTTGAAAACGGTTCTGATTGCCGTATAATGTCTCTAGGTTCGCTTCGCTCAGCTGTAGAAATGGGCAAATCAGATCTATCTATCATGTATCTTTGAATGCGAGAGACGTCTGAAGATTGCAATCCTTGATTTCTACTTTGTCTTCCGAATATTTCGAGAAACTTTGGAAGAGAGCAAACGACAGGACAGAAGGTACACAGCATAAATACTGGTAGCTGTAACGATATAAATAATGGTGGATTTAAAGATAAAAATATCATACAAATATGTTAAAGTATGGATTTTTTTCTGTACTTGACATACGATAGATCAGCGATGATTAATTAAGATTGTTTGACATATATGCAGGTAAAAAAAACATCGAAAAATCCTTGAAAAATTTATAACTTTATTTTCCATTGTGTTACATTGCAGACGAAAAGGTATATACAACAATGTATTCAAAATTTCTTCATATTTAATTAGTCTATAATCTTGTTAAATGTCCAATTTAATATAAATCTCCAATATAGTATATATTAAAATGTAAATCATTTAACATTTTCCATAAAGGTCTTTAGGTTTGTATCACATGTAAGCATTACATCAATCATTAAACGGGGTAAAGGTATATTCAAAAATTGATTTTTTTTCCTTAGAGGATATTTAATCGTGTAACTAAGTATTAAAGTGTCAGGGAGACTGGAGTTAGTGTCATTTTGTATATACATGTATATATGTATGTGTAGATATTTTGACCATACATACTTTGCAGTTTATCGATCTGCTTCTATATATCATTATGCAATATACAATAAGAGATTTAATGAAGATTTTTTTAGGTACTTCAGGGTCTCAAAACATTACAGACAAAACCAGAAAATATTACAGATTGTCCCATTTCAGAAACAACTGAGGTATGAAGAAATAAAAAATATTAACTTATTTTAAATATTTTCAAAATGTTGCAAAACTGGTACATACTGATGTATTTTATGATTTTTTTTCACATTCTAATGCTAAAAAGCTGGAAAAATTATTTTCTTCGACTGTCGTGAAAAAGATACTTATTAGAAATTTAAATTTATCCGTCAAACGATGACCCGAAGAGATTCCCTTACAAAGTTAATTGTTTTAAGACCCACGACTGTCTCTTCTGAATTGATACATCACATTGATTTTCTTGGAAGGTACAGCCACAAGGTCGTTCACCCGCACTTGATTCACTACACGTGCAAATAATAGACTGTGTAAGGATTTTTTTGTTCTTGTTTATTTTTCTAATCTTTGTGATATCATTATTCATGGAATGTCGAACCTGAAGGCTAAAGTAATTATATAATATTATCTTTATTTTTTGGTTCTGCTTTGAATTAATACAAGTAACTTTTGGATATCCGAGTGAAAAAAAATATTCCATTATCTTAAATTATTTTACCATTGATTAAAACTGAAAAATGGACTATTTACGTACTTAAAATAATAATGAACTTCTAGTTTCAGTAAAAAAAACTTTAATCGACAATTATTTGTGACAATTCAAAAACCATTTAACAAAAGAGAATAATGTAAAAAAAAAAAATGTATATATATATATAGAGAGAGAGAGAATGTAATCTTTGCTCTTTTGCTTCTCAAAACTTAAAAAAATATATAATTTAATGTCCTTAAAAAGTATTTCTCGTATTTATCATCGATTTAAAGAAACATTTTAATATCACTTCTAAACAGTGTTTAAAATTGATTTTGATAGCTAAAATTGTTATCCCTTTACATGGAAATATAAGCATTACGTAAAATTAATGACAATGATTAACAAACCATTTTTCAGTTTATCTGAATTTAATCCGTTAAGTTTCAACGGATGTAGATCAACGGCAAAGTGAAACAAAGTGGTTGATGCGTTCTAATGTTTTGTTTAACTGGTCGATTCAAAGCCGTATTTATGAAGAAAAGTCTGTTCATTATAAACTTTAATGAAGGCTGATGAAATATAGCAAGAAAAAAGTTTTATTCATCACCTTCTCCTATTGGTGTTTTTGTCTCCTTACTGTAAAATCAATTTTCAAAACGAGGCAGGCTACTGACAAATAAGTTACATGGCCAGTGTTCTTATATAAATGTTGATTTTAATTGTTGGTTACTCCATTTGCTTGATCAAAACAGAGAGCTCACGGTGTGTGACCGGTCGAAAGGGGATGCTTACTCTTCCTAGGCATCCGATCCTGCATCTGGTGGTTCCATGGGTCCTTGTTTATGTCATGTTCATAATTCTTTTTATGGGATTAAAAAGGGCTACAGAGTACCTTCTTCAAAGTGTTGAGTTTTGTCGTCAGAGCATTAAGTGAATAATCAAGTCATGAATTTTTTTTTTAAATGAAAAATGTGTAATTGAAAAGAGAGGGCATCCTGGACTATAAAGCACCCAGAGAGGTCGAGCATATTACTACATGTAACAACCTAACCACTTTTGATTGATTATGAAAGGTGGATATAACGAACATTAATCTTACTCGAAAGTCCAATCAAGCAATGCAGCTTGAAAGCAGAGCAGACACGGAACCCCGAAAACATCCCAGATGGGATTAGGTGGCATGGGGGAGTAAGCATCCCCTATTCAGTTGTCACACTCGCTTTGGGCCTTCTGTCGAGAAAACGGAGTGACCCTAGACAATTCAGCATGAAAACGATGACATAACATTTCTTTTAAAAACGTTAGTTAGCATCTGAGCAAACGACAGATTGTATTTGCAAACAAGGTCGTTGCATTGATCATGGAAAACCACATGTAGACAGTAATGGTATATTACTACATAAATAAGGGAAGTTAATGAAAGGGACGAAGAAAAACTTGAAGTCATCATGTTTATCATAAAGTTTAGTTAATTTACCGTCAATGTCTTTCTCCAGTTAAAAAAATCCAAATATGAAACCTGAGTGTCAAGAATTTATGTTATCCTTTTTTTCGAGTTAAGTGGTAAACATCGAATCAATATACGAATGATAATGAATTTTGTTAAATGATAAAACGTCGTCGATACATATCTAAATGTCGAATTGAAGGCCCCTGCACGATATATCTTCTTTTCATGTAGAAGGTTTTGTATAAATTCTGCTTTATAGGAATATAAAAACAATGGGCCACGACGCTCACCTGAGTCACTTTGGCTTTACTTATCTTGAAAAAGAATTTTAAACATTTTTTAGGATGCTTGGATATTAAAATGATTAGTCATAGTTCTTGAAAAAAATTCCCTATGTATTCCGAAGCAAACTTTTGAATTTTGATAACCTCTAAGATTGGAGAACATTTTCATATCTCTTGATCTGCATTTCCCGAGGATTCTTCATATCAATATCATCAATAAGAACCCTGTTGTTCTTGAAAAGATGTTTCTACATTTTTTTCTATATCACAGGATGAAACTCTGCCATTCAGTTAATTGAAAGGTGAATTAAAGTTTACTGGAAAGTGATTGAATGGCAGAGCTCTGCCACTCAGTGACCTTTCAGTCACCATTCAGTTGACTGTGTTTATTCTCATGTTAAACTTTAATCCCATATCGTGTCCCCACCCTGGCCCCAGGGGCCATGATCTGAACAAAATAGATTTTGCACTACCTGAAGATGATTTCGAATTAATATCATTAAACATGGCTCTTTTTTTAGACAAGAATATTTTAAAGATTTTTCCTCTACATCCTTATGTAAAACTTTGGTCCCTTACTGTAGCCCAAACCTAATCCCAGAGGCCATGATTTAAACAGAGTTTAATCTGCACTATCCAAAAATGCTTGAACTTCAGTATCATTCATCATGGTTTAGAAGATATTTAAAGCAATATGAGCTGCAGTTGTGAAAATTTTATTTTGCTGTTAAATATGTTATTATGATATATTTATGTATAAGTTATGTATAAGTTAAATCTTCTTGGTCAATTAAACAGAAATAGAGTATCAAATTGTTTCAGAATAAAGGATTCTGTACAATCAAATATTATATCGTATTATAATATAAGAAATCAATATTGTACAGGACGACAATAATGTAATTTTGCTTCATCAAAGCTTATAAATAGTTCTTCCATCGCAAATATAACAACGGAAGTTTATAAACTTTCTTTTCTTTTCTGCCATTGAAATAAATAATAACAAATTTGCAACAAAAATTTCTGACATCAAAATTGCAGCTCATATTGCTTTAATTTTTTCCCTACATATTTTTTTTGTAAAAAATTCATCCCTTGTCGATACAATGACCTTGTCAGAAAATACGATCTATCATTAAGTCATATGCTGACTGATGTTTTTCATACTAATTGTTAGGCCATTATTTACACACTGAATTGTCGACGAATTTTTCCATTTCCCGATCACGAAAAGGAGCACACGGCGGGTGTGACCGGTCGGCAGGGGATGCTCACTCCTCAATGGCACCAGATCCCACCTCTGATGTTTTTGGAGGTCTGTGTTTGCTCTGCTCCCGATTTGTTCTGTTTTAATGGCTTTGAACTTGTCTGTTCGTTATCTCCATATTTCATCCCAACATATGCCCAGGGACCATAAAACTTTGGGAAAACTGAATCTACACTACCAGAGAATGTTTGCATATTAATATTGCTGATCATAACTTTGTTGTTCTTGAGAAGATTCTTAAACTTTTTTCCAAGGTTTCCCCAAGTAAAATGTTTCCTCATTTTTAAATAACCAAACCAGATTTTCACGAATTCTACATTATATCCCATTATAAAAGAGGGCTTGGGCCTTTACTTGTATAAACTTAAATCTTATTCACACAAGGATGCTTTGTGACAGGTTTGATTGCAACTGCCCAGTGGTCCTGGAGATAAAAAATATAAAATATTTACGATGATAACAACGAGACAGACAACGGACAAAATTTGATCAGAAAAAGCTCACTTGAACCTTCGACTCGTGTAAGTTAAAAAGTGGACTAATAAAGTGGCAAAATTAATACCATGGGATTTCAAATAGACTGTTGGAAGATCTAGAGAAGTCGAAGAGTAGAGTAGTCGAAGACTACATAGATATTTTCGATGAGGACTTTTTTACCTCCTTTTTAACTAGTCATCATATTGGACTGCACACTGCAGTATTATCCCACAAGAATCCCATTTGAAGGGCTGCCTTCAAGTATGATCGATTCATCCCACTAGGATACGTATTCTATTAAAAATTTATTGAAATCCATTCAAAGAATTTTAAACCGGCAAAAT